TTGTGATATATCGGTCGGTTCTGATGAAAAGGAATGATGCCACTTTTGTTTGGTGTTGTTCTTTCCTCCGTGGAGTCTTGGACCAATGATCTCACACATGCAAGGATGTTTGCAAATGCCTAGGAGGGAAAGCGCCTGTGGGCAGGATCACGTTGCAACTACAACAGGCTGCATGGAGGATCAGTTTTCCCACACCGGGGAGGTTACCATATCTTCCAATCTCATCATCCAGGCTGTGAGATAATGGCTCGGCCAACACCACCCAGAAAGCTTTGAGGTTGAAAATAAACACAAGCCTCCTGTCTCCTTGGGGAGAGGTTATGGCTCAGCAGCAGAACACATGCGCAAAGTCCCAAGTCCCAGGTTTAATTTCAAGTAGCAAGTGCTAGGAAAGAAATGTCTCTGCCTAGGAGCCCGTAAAGCTGCTGCTGGCCAGAGCAGTGACCCAAGGGACCGCACTAGACATTATTCTTTTTCAAGGAGCTGGGTTTCCCTGGTCAAACTCTCAGCCCCTTCTATGCTTACCAGTTGCCCAGTTTCAGTGGGCCAATGCCCACCCATGGTCAATGCTCCCTCTAAGCTGTGGAGTCTTGTGAGCAAAAATTATATTTTGTGAGCTCCTGCCGTTAAAGTTGTGAGCAAGCTATTTGGCTACTGCATAAACTAGTTTGCTCTGGAACCCTCCTTCCTGAGCTAAGACAAAAAGGTGTGAGCCGGAGGCTAAAAAACTGTGAGCTAGCTCACACTAACTCAGCTTAGAGGGAACACTGCCCATGGTCCTCATTCTCTGTGCTAGCTCAATGGAGCAGTGGCAGGGAGGAATGGTGGGTGCACAACATGCTGACATCATTTCCGGGTATAAACTCAGAAGGGACATCACGGCATCAAGTAACTCCCTAGGTATTCACTCAGTGGCCACAGGATGTGGTGACGGCTCCAATCTGGAAGGCTTTAAAAGGGGAGTGGACAGTTTCATGGAGGTGGCAACCCTAGACGATCACGGCGGCTCCTAATTATGATGGATATCTGCTTCTCCAGTGCCAGAGGCAGCAGTATGCCTCTTTAAATCAGTTACTGGGGAGCACAGGCAGGATGGTTCTGTGGCAGTCGACCTCTTTGTGGGCTTCCTGAAGGTAGCTGGTTGGCCTCTCTGTGAAAAAAAATGCTGGACTTTGAAAGGTCTTAGGATTGATCCAGAATGGACCAGAATGGCTCTTCTTTGGCCACTGTGTGACAGAGTGTTGGACTAGATGGGCCATTGGCCGGATCCAACATTGGCTTCTGTTGTGTTCTTAAGTGCTTCTGTTCTTACAGCATTTAGCATAGAAACTGGGGGGATTCCTAGAACATTGCTCAATGGGATGACATTACTTTGGGGTTTTCACCCAGAAGGGACATTTCTTATGCCCCACTCCCCCAAAGCTCCCAAGGGCACCAGGAAAAGTCCTGGAAGGAAAAGGCCTGGCTACCCTATATCCCCTCAGCCAGACCACAGTTTCTAGGAATTGATTTCCCAAGCACTGCAGAGGCCCCAGTTTAGATATGGACAACAGCACTGGGGGTAGGGGAAAAGGGCTTCCTCCTCCATGCCATTTTTCCAACCTGAAGCAGGCCTGGGGATATACTTAGGCCCTTGGAGGAATTGCACGTGTCCTGTGGTGGTTCAATTGTCTGACTTCTTAATTAAATTACCATATGGCACTGTGTGCAGAATAGACAGGAGATCCTAAGATTGTCTGGCAGCCACACATTCTAGCTCTTTTAGCATGATGCACCACGAGTGGGCGAGCTAGACTTGTCTTTAAGGCCACGGATATTTCAGAGGTGGTTTGCCGTTGCTTGCCTCTGTGTCATGACCCTGGTATCCCTTGGAGGTTACCCTTCCAAATACTAGCCATTAGCTTCTGAGATCTAATGAGATTGGGTTAGCTTGGGCTATCCAGGTCAGGCTACATTGGGTACAATACTCGTGTTGCATGCAGAAAGTCCCTGGTTCAATCAGTGGCATCTTCAGTTAAAGGAGCCCAAGTCGTAGGTGCTGGGAAAGCCCTTTCTCTGCCAGAAAGCTGCTGCCAGTTAGAGCAGGCACTGCTGAGCTGGAGGGACCAGCAGCTGCATCCGGTTTGGCCAGTGGAGAGCCAGTTTGGTGTAGTGGTTAAGTGTGCGGACTCTAATCTGGGAGAACCAGGTTTGATTCCCCACTCCTCCACTTGCACCTGGCTGGATGACCTTGGGCAAGCCATAACTCTGGCACAGCTGTTCTTGAAAAAGAGCAGTTTCCGTCAAGAGTTCTCTCAGCCCCACCTACCTCACAGGCAGTGTTCCCTCTAAACTGAGTTAGTGTGAGCTAGCTCACATTTTTTTTAGCCTCTGGCTCACACATTTTTATCTTAGCTCAGGAGGGATGGCTCCAGAGCAAACTAATTGATGCAGCAGCCAAATCACTCACTCACAACTTTAATGCCGGTCGCTCACAAAGTAGGAACTTTTGCTCACAAGACTCCATTGCTTAGAGCGAGCATTGCTCACAGGGTGTCTGTTGTGGGGGGGGGAAGGGGGGGGGGGAGGGGAAGGAGTTTGTAGGCCACTCTGAGACACCTTTGGGTAGTGAAGGGCGGGGTATAAATCTAATCTCTTCTTCTTCTTCTTCATCATCATCATCCAGTTTGGTTGCTGCAGCACAGGGGGGAGGGGCTGTGGCTCAGTGATAAAGCACCTGCTTCACACGCAGGAGACCCCCATTGGGTTCCTAGGCGTCTCTGGTTAAAGACTGTCATGTAGCATGGGTCAAGAGAGGCAGCTGTCTCTAGCTGAGATCCTGGAGAGCCATTGTTAGTCAACTAGAGGGGACTGGTGGTCTGACTCGATATGCAGCAGCTTCGTATCCCAAAATGTCACCTCTTGCTGTGAAATATGCAGGCTGCTCACTGCTGCTCCAGGAAGTAATAAGCAGATTGTTTGAATTTAGTGGATTCTGACTCTTGTATCCCTCTGAATATGAACATACAAGGCTGCATCAGACCACTGAGGAAAGATCCTATAGAAAATGTCTTAAAAATTAGAATGAAGGGGATGTTTGGGAGAGATATTTACTTGTTCTGTTCTGTGTATCCTCTGATGTATAATGATCTTTTTTTAAAAAATGTAAAGTTTTATTGCAGAGTTAGATATTACACAGCAAGTCAAATAAACAACTAGTCCATTAGAATATCCAGCAAAGTAAACAGCTATATAATATCATTTAAACAGTAAGCATAAACCACAATAATTATTCAACAACGTATAAGAATCTTGATATATATGATTTGTTGTATAATCCCTCGTTTCTATTTGTATGCCCTCTATATTATACTTTGCTTTCTAAAATAAAATATGGCCCCGGTCACACGGCAAAGTTGCTGCGGGAGGGGCACGGGAGTCCCGCGGATTTTCCGGGCGCGATCTCACCTCAACATTTGGGAAGCGGAGTGCTCCCGTGGCGAACCTGTGGCTCCCCGCCGAAGGTGCGGAGTTAAAAACTAGTACCTACGAGGTACTAGTTTCCGGAAACCGTGGGCCAAGGGCAGGCATCTGACCGCGTTTCCGGTGGACTTCCATGGCATCCGGCGCTCGCGCATGTCCCGTCGCAAAGAAGGGTGTTTTTTTTCAAGTCTCCACAGGATGCGCACAAGCACCCAATGGAGCATGCGCAGAAACAGGAAGTGGTGTTTGCCACAGGAGCCGCGCGGCGCGAGTGCCAGTTTGAATGCGCCGTGCTGCTTCTTTGCCGCGCTGCGGACTAGCCGTCGGATCTGCACCTGACGCCTACCCACGGGACCTCCAAAGGACTTCTGATCGGGCTGCCGCGTGTTAGTTTCTTCTGGGGCAATTAGCCACGCCTCCCCCCCCCCCGCATTTTCCGGCCCATGTGACCGGGGCCCATATATATATATATTTAAATGCCACATATATTATTGATAAGCTTGTAAAAAAACCCTTTTCAGATGAGAAGTGGGAAATAGATATTTAATCACAACTGCAGAAATACAACCGCAATAGTGGGGAACACTTTGTGCATCTGATGAAGGGGGGTTCTGGCTCACAAAATCGTCTGCCATAATAAATTTGCCAGCCTTCATGCAATGGAAAAAACTTCTTTGTTGATTTGGCTACAGCTGACTAACCAGGCTATACCCCCCCCCCAAATCTGCACTGATTGACGAATGACATGGGTGGGGGCGGAAAGAGGGATCCCCCAGAATTACAGCTCATCTCCACACTACGGTGATCATTCCCCCTGGAGAAAATGGGTGCTTTGGAGAGCGGACTCTAGGACATTGCCCCCCACTGAGGTCCCTGTCCTCCCCAGGCGCCATCCCCAAATCTCCAGGAGTTTCCCAACCTGGATGTGGCAACCCTTTCCCCCCAATCCCCTGCTGGTGGCATCAAGTGACCCTGTAGGGTTTTCAAGGCAAGAGATGTACAGAAATAATTTGCAGTTGCCTGCCTCTGCGTAGCAACCCTGGGCTTCCTTGGCGTTCTTCCGCCCAGGTACTAATTAGTGTCAATCCTGCTTAGCTTCCAAGATCTGATGAGGCTGGACTGATATTACCTAACTGGGATTCCAGACTGGGATGTTTTAGGTGCAAGGGTACTAATCCTGCAGCCTGTTTGTTATCCTCGAAGGGTTTAATCTAACAGGGGTTCTGTACATCTCTTCGAGGTTACGCCAGGCCCTTGCAGACTTGCCTTTGTTAGCAGAGATGCGGCTTTGCTGGAGGGGGAAGCCTCCAGCTTGAGGCTTTACCGGCTGGGTTTGCGAGTGGCTCTTTGCAGGAAATGACTGAGCAGAGCGAGGTTCCTCATAGCATCGGGACTCACGCTTGAGGCACAGCTCGCTGTCAACAGGCAGGTTCCCCCAGCCTGCAGCACACTGCCTGGCTTTGTGGGTGGAAAGGGCCATTGACATGAACGAGGAGTCTGCTGCAGGCTCGGCACCCCAGCCCCCTCTGCCCTCGAAGATTTATGGCACCATCAAACCCAGCAAAGAGTCAGAGGGACGGGGGAAGTTTTCACGGGCAAGGTCTTACCTAGCAGTGGCTGTCCTGTGCTACATCAACCTGGTGAACTACATGGACTGGTTTGTTGTACCAGGTAAGGTGACTGATGCTTTTGGAGACCATAAGGATCCTTCAGCATTTGGTATCTGTGGGCCAGGACAGGCTTTTTAATGGCAGAGGGAGTGAGCATATAGCAGAGTGGGATAGCATCTTTGGATTCAGAAGATCTTTGAATTCATTGGAAGAGCTTTGCATTTGGAAGATCTTTGTGTTCATTGGAAAAGCTTTGTATTTGGAAGGTCTTTGCATTCATTGGAAGAACTTTGTATTTATTGGAAGAGCTTTGTATTTGGTCTTTGCACTCATTGGAAGAGCTTTGTATTCAGAAGGTCTTTGCATTCATTGGAAGAACTTTGCATTCATTGGAAGAGCTTTGTATTTATTGGAAGAGCTTTGTATTTGGTCTTTGCACTCATTGGAAGAGCTTTGTATTCAGAAGGTCTTTGCATTCATTGGAAGAACTTTGCATTCATTGGAAGAGCTTTGTATTTGGTCTTTACACTCATTGGAAGAGCTTTGTATTCAGAAGGTCTTTGCATTCATTGGAAGAGCTTTGTATTCAGAAGGTCTTTGCATTCATTGGAAGAACTTTGTATTCGGAAGGTCCTAGGCTTAGTGTGGTGTAGTGGTCAGACTGCTGGACTAGTATCTGGGAGACCCAGGTATAAATCTGCAGTCTGCCATGGAAACTCGCTGGGTGACCTTGGGCCTGTCACGTACTCTCAAGACTAACCTGCCTCACAGGCTTGTTGTGAGGATAAAATGGAGGAGAAGAGAAGGATGAAAGCAACTCTGGGTCCCCATGGGAGAGAAAGGCAGGGTATAAGTGAAACAGACAGACAAACAAACAAGTTTGTTTATTTCTCACGAAAATTCAAGGCAGATCAGTTCCTCCTATCTCCAGTGCCAAGAGGATCTCAGGCGGCAGGTCTTGAGAAACACCTTTCTCTGCCTGAGATCCTGGAGAGTGGCTGTTCTCCCTCAGAATAAATAATACTGAGCTAGGACCTCTTTCAGATTTTACCTTATGCTGCATTGTTCTGTCCCTTAGCCACAACTGCAGGCCTGGATCTAAACCAGGAGCGGCCAAATTTGCTGAACGTAAGAGCCACATAGAATAAATGTCAGATGTTTGAGAGCTGCAAGACATCAACAAATATTGCACACATATCTTCATTGAAAAATATGCACGTTTGCTTTTGATTAACATTAAATGAGACTGCCAAAAATAAAACCAAAAGGGGTAGAAACCAGATATAACTTTAAATGCGTCCTCCAAGCCCCCCCGCCTGCCCCCCGCCAGCTGGCTTGGCAAAGGGATTTAAAGAGACAAATGCCTTCTCCCAAGCCGGACAGTGGCGGCGGGGGCAGGGGGGGGGCTTTGAGAATGCATTTAAAGTTAAAGTTGTTTTCTTTCTCTGCTCCCTCCCACCTCAAGCCTACCCAACACTGGCTGGGGAAGGGAAGACCGATCAGAGAGACATGCCTCCCCTTTGCTTTCCCAGCCACCCTGCCGGGAGCCGCACGATATGTGTAAAAGAGCCACATGTGGCTCCTGAGCCACAGTTTGGCCACCCTTGATCTAAACTGACATCGGGGCACCACTGCTGTACTCAGGGGTCATTTCCTGCAGGAGCGCACAGGAGCGGAGCTCCGGCAGTAAGGAGCCCAGGGGGCGGGCACATGCAACAAGCCCTGCCCCCTGCTCCCAGCAGGCCTCAGTCGGGCCACGAGGAGCAAGAAGCAGCCAGGTAAGTTGCAGAGCACCCCCCCTCAGCCCACCTTCAGGTACAAGCTCTCCCTCCTCTGTGAGGGCAGATCTGCGCGTCCCCCCCCCATAGCTAGCAGTCCAAAACAGTCCAGTGGCACCTTTAAGACCAGGTTTTATTCAGGTACAAGCTCTCCCTCCTCTGCGAGGACAGATCTGCACGTCCCCCCCCCCCATAGCTAGCAATCCAAAACAGTCCAGTGGAGCCTGAGCGGTGGGTGTTGCCTTCTGACACACTTCCGGTGATGTCAGGGTGTGTGGCATATGCAAATAAGTTGTGCTAATGAGTTATGCTAATGAGCTCCTGCACTTCTTTTTCTACAAAATGACCCCTGGCTGTACTCAAATTAATGACTGACATCTGAACAAATTGCTTTACATGGAATTTCATGATTTATGATTGTATGCTGTTTTAATTTGTTATTAAATGGTTATTTTAATAGTGTCATACTAAAATTGGTTTAAACCGCCCTGAGGAGGGCGGTATATTAAATAAATAAATAAATAAATAAGAATATCTCAGACTTACCAACTTTATCAACAGGAGAGGTGCCCTCTATTTCACTGGCAGCCTTTTGCTGTTTTAGCTGTGTTCTGTTTCATCCAAACTACACAGAGGAAAATAGATCTCCAGAGAGGTTTCCTCAACATGTTTTTTTGTTTGGCAACAGAGGACACACTTTGCAAGAGCTGAGCATGCAAGAGTGAAAGCAAAGTCAGACCGGAACATCCCAGCTCCATCAACAAGCTGAGTGGCAAAAGCAGCTTTGTACGACATGAGCTGTCGAGAATAAAGCAAGCTACTTTGCCAGACCTCAGCTCCTTGGCTAGTAGCAAGGTGGGCCAAAGGGAGGAATTCTGACACGTTACATACCTATGTCTGCCAACATTTTGCAAATGGAAAAAAAGGAGAATCATTTTCTGCATGGGGACATGTTGCTTGTTGATTAATGGTGAAGACCCTTCTCTGAAGACTGAATACTGCAGGGGTTCCCAAAATGGTGCCCGTGGGCACCATGGCTTCCTGCCAACACCTTTTCTGGCACCTGCCAAGTGTTTTTAGCAAGTGTGCAGGGTCAGGTAGGTCTTTTGCTCAGCAGAGCTTCTGATTGGCCATGGGAGATTTGATTGGCTGTGCAGTTTTTTTAAAAAAAAATTGCTTTGGCAGCAGTTGCCACCACAGCAAAAGGATCTTTAGTGTGTGACTGAAGTTAAGCTGTGGCAATCATTTGGTGGCTGGTTCCACCTCCTATGGCAGCCATTTTGTGGTTGGCTCCACCTCCTATGGCACCCATTTTGTGGCCGCACCCACCATGCCATGTCAGAATTCCAAAGGTGCTCACAGGGTCAAAAAAAGGCTGGGGACCCCTGGAATACTGCATTCATTTATGCTTCAACAAAATGTCCTGCACTGGCTTGTGAAGAGGTGTTATTAAACTGACCACAACAGTTTCCTTTGGTTGAAGTCAAACAACATTTGTTCCCAGAACAGGATCTAGTTGTGCTAATTATATGGGTGCTAAGGTTCTTTGACTTGTGTGGCTAGCCAATAAACTACACAGTGAAACAGACAATTCCAGGCAATAAAGGGTAGGAAAAAGATTTATTCAAATAAAGGAACATCTCACAGCTAAAAATACAGCAGGGATCTTGCTTGTATGCTCTTCTTGCTCCTCCTCACTTTACATCATTGTTGACATCATTTGCACATGCTCAGTTTAGATCTCTTTGTCTGGTCAGTCATCAATCACATATTTGACCAACAGGATGTTACTTGGCAATGTTTCAACTTTACAATGCAGGTGCATGACTCATTAAAATTGATTGATACAGGTGCTCATTTTCTTGGCTGCCTACCTAGACTCATTTCACCTTTGAATGAACTCTCAGGCTGAGTTCATTTTCAGCACCAAATTTAGATGTTTTCATTACAAAAAATGGTTTATTTAAATGGATACATCCATATAGAAATATAACAAAATTCTTAATTCTTATTGAATCTTCTTAATTTCTATTGAAAATATATAAAGGATACATTGGATTATGAAAAATAGCACTATTTTAAATATTAACTCACTATAAGCACCTTTTTAATATTGCAAAGTGGTTTATGACAGAAAGCTTTTGTAGATACACTGAATCTATCAGTTTTTATTTTGGACACCGTAGAAGATTTTTGTTAATTTTAAAAACTTCTAGACTTGTAAAATATGTTATTTTACTTTGGCCAATAGGGGTTCCCTTTGAATAATACAAATTTTGTGCTTTTTAATTGCCTTCTAATGAATGACAGGTGTGCATGATTAATTTCTGTGACTTCATAAACTTCTTGGAACATCTCCCAACTTTCTGCTTGTTAGCAGCTTGTTAGTTTCAAACACAGTTCCTTATTAGATGATTAAAATTTTACCTAATTTTCTCTTTCTTAATAAACATTCAGGAACATTCAGGAACATTTTATCCATAATCTTTCCATAAGAGATATTTATCCATAAGAGATCCATAAGAGATATTTACTCTTTAACACAGGGGTGTCAAACATGTGGCCCGGGGCTGGATCAGGCTTCTATCAGACCTGCACTGGAACTGGCCATCTCCTGTTTCCAATTCTGTTGCTGCTGCTGCTGCATCATAGCTTCCTTTGCCAGACTCTCTCAATCGCTCAGCCATTTCTTGTTTTCCTCTGGGTCCTAGACTCAGAACTCTGAGCATGAGATTTCTGTGGTGAATGTCAATAAACCTACAATAAAAGTAGGTTTGCAGCTTACAGATACACACTTGAACAGCATACTCAAGATTGCAACAGAACAGACATTTTGATGCAATAATTCAGAGCAAGAGGTGTCAGTTAAATAAACAAAATATTGCAAGAGTGCTAATGTTTTAAGCATGTTTTTATTTTAAGTAAAAAAAACCTTTGTGTTTATGTCCTTTATAAAGTTTATATCTCTGCTACCTGGCATTACATTTAATGACACACATGGCCCAGCCCAACAAGGTCTAATTTATGTCAGATCTGGCCCTCATAACAAATGAGTTTGACACTCCTGCTTTAACAGTTATTCTTTGCTATCTTTTCAGTGTTCTTTTAAAGCACACCAAGTTAGATCTATTCAGCAAAGAGGATACAACTGAACTTCTGTTCAACCCTATTCTTCTTCTTGACATCCTTTTTAGCTTAGCTTGTGGATCTTTGCCAGGTTAGTTATAAGTGTATAACGGTTTCTCCTTAAGCAAGCACCTTTCTGTCTTAAAAATAAGCTTGATCATTCTTTAGCAAAGCTTAAAATGAATATTTCAGGTAGCTGCTGTTCTTACAAATATCCTAGACCACAATCTTAGTAAATATTCAGCTTTAAACAAAATATAAAGTCTAAAAACACACAACAAGTCAGAAGGGGGGGGTTTCCTCTCTTATAGTATAGCTATCCTTTTGTTCACCCCAATTAGACATTTCTAAAAACATCTTGACCAATTATTTCTAGTTCTTTTTGAAGCAAAGGATCTCACTATAAATCTTTAACTTTGGCAGTGGTGCTCCATGCCATCCCAATTAAAAAGGCTGTTGTAAGAACACTTGGCCTAATTAGAATTTTTTTTTTGTCAATTAAATTAGATTTAGAAGATCTGTTTCTACAATTCTGCTTAGTGGTTAACTATTCACTAATTCTCCCTGGAGAATCCCAGCAATAATCAATAGACAATAATTTGAACCCTTGAATATCCTCTACACTAACAATCATTTCCTTTCTTTTTATTTCTTATCAAGATCAAATAGCTATAGAGGACTTTTCACATTATATGTTATACGAAGTATACTCGAAGAAATATTATTACACTGCTGGTTTTTCTATCTGCATTGTTCTGTATTTTTTCTCTTTGTTTTTTTTAAAAAAATTGACTTTGAAATTTCTCCTAGGGGTAAAATGGGGACCAGATAGTGCCCGGGACAAATCCCATGAAACAGATCGGGAGAACTGGCATGCGTATGGGTTAAAGCAGAAGAGATGGTGCTTTGGATCTGGGCCACAGGGCTGCCAGCTCTGGGTTGGGAAATACCTTGAGATTTCGGGGGTAGAGCCTGAAAGGGCAGGGGCTGGGTAGGGGAGGGAACTCACCAGGGTAAAATGCCATAGAGTCCGCCCTCCAAAGCAGCCAGTCTCTCCAGTGAAATTGATCTTGGTCATCTGGAGATCAATTGTAATAGTGGGAGACCTCCAGGTGCCACCTGGAGGTTGGCAGCCCTAGCCACAGTACCTGGAAAAGGCTGAAGGTGTTAAGCCACTCTGGGCTTGCTTGGTTTTGCTAACTGAACCCCCATCCTCAGTTGCCTTTATTTTTTTCTCTTTTAAGGGCTAATGATGACATGTGGAGGGGTGGCAGTTACAGTTAGCAAAAAACATGCAGGGCTGAACATCTAAACCTCTCCCCCCCCCCCCCACGTGCTTGGACCCTGATCTAAATCAGGCCCCCATACAGACACAGTTGTTCTTTGAAAATTGCTAAGGAGATTCGATATCCCATCTCCCAACATCTCGTCTGCTTCAACCTGATGCTGTGGTTTCATTCCTTAAAGTTTGCTGGTAGTGCCTTGACCACATAGTCCTCCCCACTCAGCACATTACCAGGAGCTAAGGGAGGCTAGGGAACCCAAATGGGCCCAAATTGGAGGGGTTGCCAACTCTCCAGGGGGCACCCAAAGTTCAAGGTACCCAGTTTCCTGGGTTGGGGAATCAGCCAGAGGGGTCTCGCTGTCCCTCTAGGAAGGTGGTGTGAATCCAGTGAGTGGTGGCAGCAAATGAGGAAGGGAAATAGCCCCACCAGGCAGGGCGGGCAGGCAAAAACAGGGGCTTGCGTACCAGCGAACGGCTATTCAGCCTCTCAGGGCTGAGGGCGAGTCCCCATTTTGCCTCAGCCTGAAGCAAAGAAACAGCTGCCGGGCCTAGTTATGTCTCCCGGCAGGACTTGGGAGCCCCTGGATTCAACCCCCCCTTGGGCTGGTCACTGTTTCTCAGCCTGGATTGTTGTGAGGAGAAAAGTAGTGATGGGCAAAACTGTAGATGTCCCTGGGAAGAATAATCTTGGTCTTTCTGGCACTGTGCAGCTATGATCAATCTTTCTTCATTACAGGAGTGCTTGAGAAGATACAGATCTACTTCAACCTTGGAGACAGTAAGGCCGGCCTGTTGCACACAGGTAAAAGGATTCTCCTGTGTGTCTGACCTATTCTTTTTCTTTACTGTCCTCTCAGTCTTCTTAACAAGTAGGTTCAGTATTGCACACATCCCTGGTTTCATATCCACGCTAAATATTTGCATCCCATCTTCCCAGGTATCAAGGAACTCAATCGAGGCTTGTCCAAGGCCATCTACCAGGCATTATAGCTGGGCAAGAAGATAGACTCAGATCTCCCTAGGCTAAGGCCAACTAACTATTTTCTGTGCCAGACTGCCTTTCCACACTCATCACGCTCATTCACAGAGCCAGTTTGATGTAGTGGTTAAGTGTGCGGACTCTAATCTGGGAGAACCGGATTTGATTCCCCACTCCTCCACTTGCAGCTGCTGGATGACCTTGGGCGAGCCATAGTTCTGCCAGAACTGTTCTCTCAAGAGCAGTCCTTGAAAGAACTCTCTCCATCCCGCCTACCTCACAGGGTGTCTGTTGTGGGAAGGGGAAGGGAAAGGAGTTTGTAAGCCGCTCTGAGACTCCGAGTGAAGGCAGGGTATAAATCCAATCGCTGCCTCCTCCTCCTCCTCCTCCTCTTCTTCTTCTTACTGCTCCTCC